AATTCCCGGGCTTCTCAGCTCGCCGCCAAATGAATACCGGATTTCTCGACGGAGAAGACGTAGCTCGTCTTCACAGTTTTTTCTGCAGTTCACAGAGAGGCTCAGCGTGTTAAAGAGCATACTATATCAGGAAAGTAGATTGTCTTAATGAGCACTATAACCCACTTGAAGGAACTAATTGCATGTGTTTAAATGGGAATGCTGATGAAAATGTGACTATTTCAGTGACTAGGTAGCTAGCGATTTACCTGCAATTATTTAGAAACATAACATATTCAATAATAATAATAATAATAATAAATAGGAAATACTTTAATAATCAATCGATGATGCCTGAAAAACTATTTATATTTAAATTATATATTTTTAATTCAGTGATCGTGTTCCCTCCCTGCGTTGCTGCCGTGGTGCAGTCTATTATCAAACACACTCTACCTTTTTGAAAAGTGCGCCACACAAATTTCATGTATTGACAATATTACTGAAATTCCACGCACATTTGGACTTGAAAGGAAGTTGAAAATCCACTTTGTGCCAGTCATAAGATGAGCCAATAAAGGGATGAAATATGAAATGGAAAAAACATCCATTATATCGACAAAAATATGTAAATGGGCGTTGGCGGTGTTTGAGGATAAAAACATGGTCAAGTGTACGAGACTACACCAATAGCGATAAGCAAACGAATTTGGGAGAAACAATCCTTTCTTGGTAACAGGACCGACAGAGATCAAAACATTAAGATATTTTGGCGCATACTTTAAAGTCGCAAGTGTTTAAAGAGCTCATGCCATTTACATATAATTCATGCTCCTCATAAAATATATACTTACTAAAAACGAGAATACGTCCAAAATGTTGGAAAGCTTTGTACGTGAGTATTTTGAGTATATCACTTCTACTAACAAAAGCATTTTGCAACTTAGAATGAAACTTGAAATCTCACAAAAAATATGTCCGTACTTTAAAATCAAATCCAAGACTAAATAGTGACAATTCCGGACTGTTCTTGGAGAAATCACTCTTCGCAACCTAACAAGTATTGTTGAGAATCATAAAACTTATTCTACTCAGAAGCATAGGATAGCTGAGAGGTTTCGATTGATTGATTGATTGTAGTATAGTGATACCATGCGCGTCAACTGCTAATGTCAACAGTGTCGTATGTGTAGTGTATTTTTGCTCGGGAGGGGATATTCCCCTGCTGGATGGTCAAATCCGTCAACGACCTACTGGCAGCTAGTGGGGATTTTACCCAACCTGGTATTGTCGAACAGCATGGCACAGCCCCAGTAGGGACAAGCTCTAAGCTCACGACCGGTCTCCCGACATATGTAGTAGTGTAGTGCAAGTAAGTGTGTGTGTAGACAAGGGGTGACGGTAGGTAAAGGTAGGGGAAGGAAAGATCGCGCGCGGTCCGTTTGCTAGGGTACTGCTCCGGGATTCGCATGGTGTTGATCAGAAAAACCAAGGAAAACTACCGATAAGAGCAGCCGGCCGCTAGAATTCTCCTCCAGGCAGCGACTGAATTCCGACTCAGCTTCTGTCGAAAATCCTGCCATTGTCGGGACTCGAACCTAGAACTCCCCGGTCAAAGGTACTGCAGTGACATCTGTTGTTTCCCTGAGCCACCTCTCCTTGTACCCCATCTTTTATCGTTACGTAGCATCTTCCCCACTTCCCGAATTACGCAATAAACGCCAGCACGCAGGGTCACGGTTGCAGACAGCAATCACCATCGTCACGCAACGAGCATTGCCCATCCGGAAGGACTTGGCGGGTGGCGCTCCGCCTCCATCGACTTATCGATCCCCGCGAGCTATCGGCTACAGCGGCGGCGGCGGCGGCGGCAGCTATCGGAAAAATAATAATGGCTAGTCGTGGATACAGCGCTGACTCGCTGTTTCGGACAACAAAATCCATCACGGCGCGGGGGCCCCCCGACGCGCGCTTTTCGCTTTCCTTTGCGAACTCCCCAAGTTGGCGCGCTGCTTTGTTCTGGCGGCGCTGAAAAGCGCCGTTCCAGGAAATGAAAAACCGAAATCGCAGCTCTCGATCTCAGCCCCGCGGCTGGGAACGAGACTCGCCCGAGCGCTCGACAGACGCCTTCGGCAAATGATGTGTTCTCGGAATGAGAGGCAAAACAAGCTCGCGCAATTCTCGCCGAGGCGAAGCAAAATGTACGGAAAACCGTGCGGGAACTTGCGTTCTTCAGTATTATACGAGAACTTCAAAACGTTGAAATAACTAAAACATTTTGGATACATCATTGTAATCACCTACACATGTTAATGGCCTAACAAAGAAACAAAGACGAGAGGGCACTTGGGTCTTCAGTGCCCCTCCCCAGAAGTCGATGAAAAATATTCGGAAATTTAGTTTTTACTAATTGTCTACAGCTAACAAACGACATTCAATATATCCCTTGAATTCGTCAGAAATATATATTAATCAACAAATAAAAATTAAGATGTTACTCCGTATAAATGAAATTTTCTTCATACGAAAACACCTTATCGACTAGACACCATACCTACAGCCCTCCCTAAGCTTAGAGCTTGTCCTGGCTGGGGCTGTGTCCTGCTGATGGAAGATAGCTGTGTGGAGAAAACCCCACTAGACGGTAGATCAGCGCCGGATCTCTCCACATAGCGGGGGAACGACGTTGCGTTTTGTATTGGTTTCAGTTTCAAGTTGAGACATCTCACATTGCATCCCCGTGGCTACAAACGAAAATGACGCCGTCGTCGGTAAATGAAGTACCTCGGAATGAAAGGCAACCACGTTGTTGAGCTGTGACTGGCGAAGAGAAAATAATGACAAAACAATAAAGAATATGCTTTCTTTGATGTTTTCAACACAACTGAAGGAAGTTGGTATCGCTTACATGGGTAATTGAGTTCAGAGAACAGCAAATTTCACAAAGTGTGATATACACATCGTACAAAAATAAACGGCTTCGCAATGGAGACAGAACTATGTTTGATAAGTTCTGCGTCATCTAGACATTTGTTAATGAATTTTTAAAGAAATATGCGTCCATGGATACGTGATGCATCGATATCATTTTCCTCCTTAGCTGCGAACTGAATTCGTAGCTCTCGATCAGTTCCCCGTGACTGCAAGCAAGAGCATGAAAAAAGCCTTGAGGATATTACGTATTCTCAGAATGTGACGCAAAACAAATCTTCATGGCCTGTCCGGTGGCCGAGATCACTAAGGCAGTAGTGCCGTAGCGATCTCGGACCGAAAGATCGCAGTTTCGAGTCCCGCCTAGGGCATGGTTGAATTGTGTTCGTCCTTCCATTCCCTATCATCAACATATCGTATCATCCTCACAGTTACCATACCGTTACAAGCAATAGTGGTCGCTAATTAACTAGAAGTTGATGCGACCTTACATAACAAAAAAAACTTCTTGAATTAACGTGACATAGAAAAGTGTACGATAAATTGTCAACGAATATTTTTCGTTTTTGTTTTTTTCTTGGAGCTTTATTCTTCACAACCACTTTAGCGCGTTGAAATTTCAAACTTTGGTTATTGATAATGGCTGCTGTCGAGAAGTATCTGTCGTAAGTTGTGGTATACACTTGTACGTGTGTCACGTCCAAATTATTAAAAGTTTCAAAATTCACCACTCAGAGCTTAGTAGTATTTTTTACCCATTTTACTCCTTCAGATGAAATAATCAGTATTCTAAATAGTTCATACTTAAACTTGTCTGAAAAATTATCTTATTTCCACATTAATTTCGAACTAAGACATGATAATATTTTAGGTTTTTCTAAATGAATTCATGAAATGCTAAATATCAAGAGAGCCGTGGGTACGCGTTATTTTATTTTGATTATTCAACTGCGTAAAAAAATATATACGATAGATTCGCGTTTGATCAGGAAGCTGCGAAGCTTTTCGAACAACGGGGAATGTGCCCGATGCTTTTGGTAAGAAAAGTATTCTCGGTATGAGAGGCGATACAAAACTTTAAAATTCATGCGGCAAATCAAAATAAAGAGTGCATTCTAAATAACAAAATATTGAGTGCAAAATAAAATACATAGCTTCGCAACATATACAGTGCAAAATAAAATACAAATTAAATTTGAAAAATTGTTCAAATGGTCTCCTTCTTGTTCTCACAAAATTGTGTAGAATTAGAATAGCTCAAACGTTTTCCACATGGATAAACGAGGTCACAGGATGCGTTCGGAATGACGTTTGTAGTTGCAAGTGCAAAATTGAAGCCTCGTAGATCAGAATGTTCGAACCTCGAAAGTGACAAGGTTTTTGTCACTGCGTAAGATGCTGAATCGCAACCTGCCCCTGTTCGGACGATAAATCTAGAGGTTACTCTCCAGCGAATCGGTTCTTTCCGTACTTGCCTCTGATCAATTTCAAGCGAACAAGGCCCAACATTAGACAACGTACCGCGAACCACCACGATCCTTCCTCCACTAACTTGTTCTCACTCTCT